AGGCGGGGAATGTTGGAGTCTGCAGTCACTGAAGCAAGGAAGCCTCATGTTCGCTTCCAGCTGCCTGGCTGCTGGCCGCCATCTTGGCTGACAGTTAATTTGCATAAGGATATGCTGATTAGCCAATGGGAAGGGTAGCGGTCGTACGCCAATTACCATGTTTCTCTTTTATTAGTGTAGATACTTTGAACATCTAAATGTGAACAAACTGAACAACCTGGGCAAAATGGACAAATTCCTAGAAAATATACCATCTTCCAAATGTAGTCAGGCAGAATCAGAAAACCTGATAGGTCAATTACAACTAATGAAATTGAAGCAGTAATAAAAAAAACTTCCCAGAAACAAAAATGTCCTGGACTGATGGTTTCACAGGTAAATTTTACCAAACATTCAAAGAATTAACACCAATCCTCCTCAAATTATTCTAAAAATTCAAGAGGAGAAAAGAACTGCAAACTCTTTTTATGAGGTCAGCATTATCTTAATTCCAAAACCATATAAAAACACAACAAGAAAGAACATTACAAGCAAATATCCCTGATGAACATAAATGCTAAAATCCTCAACAAAATATTAGCAAACTGGATCCAGCAATACATTAAAAAGATCATACACCATGACCAAGTAGGATTTATTCTGGGGAAGCAAGGATGGTTCCATATTTGCAATCAATAAACATGATACATCATATAAACAAAATGAAGGACAAAAATCACACAATCTTGCCCGGCTGCTGTGACTCAGTGGTTGTGTCCACCAATGCACCCAAGAGGTCGCTGTTTCGATTCCTGGTCAGGGCACATGCCCAAGTTGCAGGCTTGATCTCCAGTGGGGGACATGCAAGAGGCAGCGGATCACTGTTTCTCTCTCATGGATGTTTCTATCTCTCTCTCCCACTCCTCTCCCCTCTCTCTGAAAATCAATAAAAACATATTTTAAAAAATCACACAATCATATCAATAGACACAGGAAAAGCATTCAACAAAATCCAGCACCCATTTATGATAAAAACTCTCAGCAAAGTGGGAATAGAGGGATCATACCTCAACATAATAAAGGCCTTAAATGACAAACCTACAGCCAACATCATACTTAATGGGAAAAAACTGAAAGCATTTCCTTTAATATCAAGAATAAGACAGGGATGTCTGCTTTCACCACACTTATTCAACATAGTACTGGAAGTCCTAGCCACAGTGATCAGACCAGGACAAAAAAAAAAAAGGCATCCAAATTGGAAAGGAGGAAGTAAAACTGTCATTATTTGCAAACGACATGATATTGTACATAGAAAACCCTAAAGACTCAACTAAAGACTACTAGATTTAATAAATGAATTCGGCAAAGTAGCAGGACACAAAATTAACATCCATAAATTGATGGCATTTTTATACAACAATAATTAACCCTTAGAAAGAGAAACTAAAAACAATCCCATTTACCTTTTCAACAAAATAATTAAGACACCTAGGAATAAACTTAATCAAGGAGGTAAAATATCTGTACTCAGAAACTGTAGGACTTTGAAAAAAGAAATAGAGGAAGATACAAACAAGTGGAAGCATATACCATATTCATAGATTGGAAGAATTAACATCATTAAAATGTTTAAACTACCCAAAGCAATCTATAGATTGAATGCAATCCCTGTTAAAATACCAATGGCTTATTTCACAGATCTAGAACAAATACTCCAAAAATTTATATGGAACCTAAAAAGACCCTGAATAGCCACAACAATCTTGAGAAAGAACAAAGTTGGAGAGATCAGAATACCGGATATCAAGTTATACTACAAAGCCAATGTAATGAAAACAGCCTGGTACTGGAATAGTTGGTAGGGTGGGGGTCTCAGGGAATCACAAGGGTGGGGCAAACAGTGTGAGCCAGGTTGACTGAGACTCAGATATGGCAGCACCTGCCTGCTGGCTCTGTGGCAGGGAGGTCCCAGAAAAAGAACAATGACCTCTACCAGTATTTTTGTCTGCGAGAAAGCTGCCCCCCAGCTCTTGCTCGGATGCCAGACAATTTAGTTCCTCCCCATATGTTGCTGGGTCCTTTCAAGCTGCTGCCCCAGCACTGGACTCAGTGTGAGTACCTCCTAGTAAGTCTGTGTGTGGACACTTTAAGAGGAACTGCCTGGGTTTCCATTAGCCTCCATGTCACCCAGCCACAGTCCCTGTTGGTTTTTACAGCCCAGTTACTGAGACTTCTCTTTCCAGCAATGAAACCCTAGGCTGAGGGGTCTGGAGTGGGGCTGGGACCACTTGCTCCTCACAGGAGGCCTCTGTAGCCGAGATATCCTGCCCAATTGAAAAACGCTACACATGGGTGTCAGACTAGCCCAGTCCATGCCCCTGCCCCTCCTACCAATCTCAATGTGGCTTCTTTAATTCTCTAGTTGTAGGACTTTCATTCAACCGGATTTCAGTCAGTTCTGAATGATGGTTGTTCTGTATTTTAGTTGTTATTTTGAGGGAGGAGATGAGTATAGCGTTTAGCTACACCACCATCTTGACACTCCTCTACCTTTCTTTTTTTGAATATCAAATTAAGACACATATAGCACAATTCCAATGGAGATTTTTCAAGGAAGGTAGAAACTAGTTTTTGTATCAAGGAAGACATTTTCATCCAACAGTCTATATATGCTTATCAGAAATCATCATAAGATAACTAATAATTTATATTACATATATTATGCAATCCATATGTAATTTTGACTCATGAACAATATTTTATATACAATTGCAGTAGAGTCAAATCCAGTGAGTATATAGCTTTTGGGATTTAATGCATTTAGGACCTTAGAATTAACAGGAAATTTTCAAAATGCCTTATGTCAGTGATGGCGAACCTTTTGAGCTCGGCCTGTCAGCATTTTGAAAAACCCTAACTTAACTCTGGTGCCGTGTCACATATAGAAATTTTTTGATATTTGCAACCATAGTAAAACAAAGACTTATATTTTTGATATTTATTTTATATATTTAAATACCATTTAACAAAGAAAAATCAACCAAAAAAATGAGTTCGCCATCACTGCCTTATGTTAACTAATCATAGTTAGAGGAAAAATAAGTGATAAGCATGGGAGAAAAACGGCAAGAAGAATTAAAATATTATCAATATTATAGTCATATTTACACTGAAAGCTGCTCTACTTTGTAAAATAGTAGGATATATTAAAACATGCATTGGTAATATAGGAGGACAAAGGGAGGGGGAGGAGGAGGAAGAAGAGGAATGTTAAACTGATCCTACAGGAAAAGATATAATTGTAAAATATATTGCAATATCATTAACTAGTAAAATGAACATAAACCAAATCACTAATAGGTCTGTATTCTGTACACATAACTTCATTCAAAAGGAAAATAACCTTGAAGCCACCTTCAGAGTTTCCCAATTAAAGTATTTTATAATTTGTCACAACATTGTCATTAAAAGCTCACCTCTTTTTCCTTAATGAGATTTAGGCTATTAAAATACTATGCACTTATTGAAATAAATTTACTTGAAAATTGAAGCTCAAAGCAAAATTCATCTGAAGTGGACCTTTTGGAAGATATTCATTGCATGTCCTCACCTTCACATTGGGTTTTGACAGTAGTTTCAACAGCTCTCTGATCTCACTATTTAATGGCTTGTTCTGCAGCTCTTCAGCCAGCTGCAAGAGAGATCACATTGACATAAAGAACATTTAATAAGAGCATCATGTAGTTCCATGTGTGCCCACTACAGATCTATCTTGTGGACTGTCCAGTGATTAAGGAAAAGACAGCATGAAATAAAACAGTATATCAATCACTGCTTTTCTTTTTAGACCCTTACTAGCCCAGATCCCAGCCCAGGCCTTTGGCTAAGCACAGCCCAAGGAATCCCATCAGCCAGATCACCTTTTGATTTATTGCAATGAGGGCAAACCACAGCACTTCATCTACCAAAATGGCCTTTTGCATGCAGACAAAGGACTACTTGTAAAAAGTACTGGATTAAACTTTGACACTATTAAAAAAAAAAAAGAAAGAAAGAAAATAGAAAGAAGGGGGTGGGGGGAGCTCTGAATGAGGTGGTGAAACCCACAGGGTTTCCAAAAAACCATAGTAGCTTGCTGTTTAGAGCTGGGTAAAAAGAACTAGAATTTCTCTAATAAGGCAAAGGTCCAAAACTTTTATTATGTTTACCTACACAGACTATGGAGTCTGTTAAATACAAACCAGGTTAATCATAAAATGACTTATAGTAGGTTGACAACTACTCCAGTACCAAAACCACTGACTATACTCTATTACAATGATCAACAATTCCCATTTGCTGGTTCTAGTTAAAGCAAGGACTAGAGCTTTGAACCTGCCTCATATTCTTAACTAAGATCTTCCTAACAACATTTCTATTCAATATTAGGCTATAGGAAGGATCATATAATTTTCATAAGAAGAAAAGCAAGATTCAAATAGAAAAAAAGATTAAAATTATGAAATATGCAATACAAAATTAAAACTGTACATATATTTTAATTTAAAAACCTTTCTTAAAACACTGCATAAAATTTGTCCTGTTTTTATCTCTGGAAAAGAACTTTTCTCTAAAAGAAGGATGAAATATAAATTACACACACAAAATAAAATCCAATAAAATTGGTATATTCATTTATTACATTTCAAAAAGTGGTTTTACTTTTCGAGGTAACACTTTTACAGAATTAGCTTACTAAAAGTTGCAAAGGGCTCTTTGCATTCTTTGGTCACTTAATATATAACAATATTTTTTAACATTTCAATACATTGCTCTGATGAATTACTATTATACCATATTTATATATTAGTCTCCAATTTTTTTAAAAGCAAGTTATCATAATATAATTGGGCCTCAATTACATTGATTTACAAACAAATATTTCTCCAAACCTTCAACAGTAAATTTTTTTAAATTTTACTTTCTCAAGTGGCAACTGCAGCTTTCTGTAAAACTCTATCTACACTTTTATTCATCTTCCCTTTAAATGTTTTGGTTCTATAATGCAGAGGCAAACTTCCTTATAAAACATGTATACTGAAATATCCTTCTAATTGTAATTTCTGTAGATTCAAAATTGAAAGAAAAATGTTTGGGAACTAATCAAATAGCCCACCACTTAGAGATTACATGATTTATTTTCTAAATTAGAAATATAAAATACATAAAAGAAAATCAACATCTGAAGATGGCCATTTTTTAAATTATAGTTATGGCCCTGATATTTTACTAAACTGACTTATAATTGGTTTTAACATAACAAAGTAAAAACTTAAAAAGCAAAAAATTAGCTGCAGGAGATCACCAAAACCAGCCTTCACACTAAACATATTTCTCATCTAGCTTAGTGTCCCTTACAGTTTACCCAGGTGTGCTCTCAATTCATCCAAGTCCGAAAGTTAACAGTAAGAAACAGCAAGTTAGTTCCTTACCCCAGATTGAAAATAAAATTATAGCTACAGGAAATTAACTACTCCATCAATGCCAGCTGCTTCTAAAATTTATCTTTTGGTTATGAAGGTAATTTGGAAAGGTCTAATACCCATAAATCATTACGATGCCTTATAATCCATTTTAAAAACAATCCTGTCTTTTTATGTATTTCTTATGCCTCATTCCTATACTAGTATCTGTCATTTTTTAGTACTGTCAGCAAAAGAGCTATCTCATTTGTCTTTCTTTCTCCAAAGCATTCCTCTTGTCTGTGACTTTCTGCGTACACTAAGAGCTGACAGCTTCTCTCTCCCCCAGAGAATTACAGCCTAAAATTTATATTACGTAGTTACCAAGGCAAAACAAGAGGTATCTACATGCAAAAGTTTTAAAACAGGAGATTGAAAATAAGCTAATATCAGCATAAACTCTGTGATGACAGGACTTTTGGAAACATTTGCAACTTCTCTGGTTTTCACTCATAGTATCGCGTGCATCTGTCTGCACTAGGATAAGTTCTGCTGCAGCCAGGCTGGTGGCAGACCTGTCCCAGTGAGCTCAGAAGGACACACTTACATCATCCGCCAAGGCTGCTGCGCTGTGGAGGATGGGCACAGGATTCTGCCGCTCATAATAGTGTAGTTTTTCATAAATCTGCAAGAAAAGCAAATGAATATAAGTTCAACTGCTAGCAAACATCTGAGATATTTAACTATTTTTATCATTGCAAATAGAAACTGATCATTGAACATTCTAAACAAAAAAAATTAATGGTTCTATAGATGACAAATATGTGTACATAATTCATCTATTACTATGGTCCAGTGTTTCTAACATGAAGTCAAACAGAAATAAAATCGTCAACAAATGAACCCACATAGAAACTACACCTTTGTGGGGTTTCTTTTGTTTTGTTTTTTGGGGTTTTTTTTGCCCCAACAAACACTAGCTAACTAAAACCTTTAATTTCTTAAACATATTGCTTCAATACTTCAAGCATTGGTTGTAGTTTATATTCCTGTTAAAAACATAAATTATGATTAAAGGAAAGCGGTAATCTGGCAGCTACATCCTGACAGCTGGTATGCACTAAGCATCCAGAGTACGGAAGCGGGCGCGGATGGACCTGTGTGGTACTCCAGGAACACACTGTTCCTTTTACTTATTATTTTCCAAATGGCCAACTTCACCCTCAAAATTCAAATTTCTAAGAAACAATGGGATTTCTCACAATTAGAGACATTTCTTATAGCTAGTTAGCTTAAATAATTTTCCATAATGGAAAACAAGTAAAATTATATTAATAAATAAAAAATAATTTGGAATCTAACTTTCCATCATCATTACTCAAGAAACACAAAGGGAAAAATATTATAAAGCATTATAAGATGAATTCCTTTAAAATTTTAGTATTATTGTTTAGAAATGAAAGATGCTTTGAAAAACACAAAACAGTTGGCACTTGTTTAATCTATTTCAGCTCTTACAGAGGTGCACTTAAAATTTTATACTTGAAAACTTAGTTTAGCCTCTTATTTATAGTTGACCAAACTGCCCCCCACTATACAATATGAAAAGTAGTTGAACCTCTCAATTTCCTGTTTCTAATAAGTATCAAGTGATACACTCTTTAATTATACTCAAAGCTTAACCAAACTTTTTTGTAAAACGTCTGGAAGATAGATTTTACTTTGAATACCCTGATTCTATTGCTAAGAGAGGATTCTATTACCATTTTGGCAGCCTAGTACATAATGCAAAGCATCAGGGAGAGAAGTCTGACACTTATGATATTACCAGAATGATCAGGACAACATTTTTACTTAATATCTTAGAACTGTTAAACATTTATCACATTTGAGTAATAAACAAAATTTCAAGAACACAGATTTATAAAAAGATTTGATTTGAAAAACTGTGACAGTATAATTTAAAACCAACCATTCCAAAAGTTAAATCAATTTTCCCTAATTGTCAAGAATTGTGTTACCTCAACATTTACTATCACTGAACTTATCCTCTCATAAACTCCTCCAACTTACTGCAACTACTTGTTTAAATGTCTGTTTTCCTGCAATAATCTAGATGCTCATACGTCTTAGCTACCATGTGCCTGTATTACCTACCTAATAGTTATCAATACTATTAGTAATACAGTCTTTAATGAGTTCAATATCTGAATACCTTAACCCTCAAGAACATGAATGGTAGATAGCTCCATCATCTCATTTATATATATATATATATATAAAGCCAGCGACTGGAACACTGTAACCACCAGAATCACCAGTTGCTATGACACCCACTGCAGCCAAAGAACCGACCGGATGGGGGGTGTGGCCAGCTGGCCAACCTCCCGCAGCCCCTCCCCCCAGCTGGCCTGCCCCTGATAGGCCTCTCCCACCCCAATCGAAGGCAGGGAAGCCGGCCAACACCCCCCTCGGCCCTTACCCCTGGCAAGCCCCACTCCTGATCTGCCCGCCCCACCCCAATAGGGGCAGGGCCATCTGGCCAACCACCCATGCCCCCCCATGGCCGGCCCCACTCCCAATCAGCCCCCACCACCCTCATTGGCTCACAACCCCTCCCCCAGCCAACACCATCCACGATCGGCTCCCCCACACCCATCAGGGGTGGGGCTGGCTGGCCAATCTCCCATAGCCCCTCCCCTGACCCCATTTGGGGGCAGGGCCAGCCAGTCCACTGCCCACAGCCCCTCCCCCCCGTTGGCCCAGCCCTGATTGGGCCTTGATCAAGGCAGGCCCTCCGGCTAACCTCCCGCCGTCTCCTCCTCCCAACAGGCCCTGCCCCAATCCACTGATTGGGACAGGGCCGGCCAGAACCCACCCATGCACGAATTCATGCACTGGGCCTCTAGTTTTATAGATAAACAGGTACACAGGAGAGAAATAAGTTGCTGTGGTCCCACAAACAGTAAATGCAGAGTTGGGATTTAAACCTCAGGCCATCTGGTCAGCATCAGAGCTCTTTAGCACCCTGCTTGCCTGTCTGTCTCTCAGACTCAGATCTCATCTACGTTTTCCACTGACCTCATTTACTGCTGAATGAATATGACCTGTTTGTAAGGGCAAGAAAAGAGGCTGGATAGATATGTGACAAATAGTCTGGCTATTCTCAATGACAATAGGATTACTGACAGTTCCTCTCCTCCCCTCCCCTATTAATATTTTTTTCCTGTGGTTCCTAATTTTTCTAGATTAATTTACATTCATACCATAATTATAACCTAAAATTACCTGCCCCTAATAAATACATTATTTCTCCACTTAATTTTCTGCTTCTGAGTGTCTTTTAAAAACAGTAAACTATTGCCCTAGCAGGGTGGCCCAGTTGGTTGGAGTGTCGTCCTATACACCAAAAGGTTGTGGGTTTGACTCCTAGTCAGAGCAACCAATCAATGTTTCTCTCTCACCTTGATGTTTCTTTCTCTCTCTGTCCCTTCTTCTCTCTAAAATCAATAAAAACATGTCCTCAGGTGGTGATTAAAAACACACAACTATCAGTTTCTCTTTCTACATTGTCTTCTCTAGATTCTCATCCACAAGCCCCCCTTACCTTGCCCACATCGGGACTTTCTATATCAAGAATTGTTTAAGTGTTCTAGAATTTACTAACTGGGAACCCTATGTTCTAATGTATTTTACTTCAGTACATAATTTTAAAAATTAAGCTGGTAGGAAAGTAAAAATTACTATAAATAATTTTGAACTATTCATTATTTCCAAAAATATTGACAGAAATTCTGCTTTTTAATTATACCAGAGAAGAAAATTAAAAAGCCAAAATGATTTTAAAATTTTAATACAATAAACAGGTAACATGTATAGACATCACCCCAAGGTTGCCTAAGAGAACTTTCTGTGATGTTGAAAACGTTCTGTATCTGCTTGTTCAATATGCATTTGGACTATTCACATGTGGTTACTGCGCACAGGAAGGAACTGTGGATTGTGTACCTGAAGCACTCAACTTTTTACTTAATTCTAACAGATCTAAATACCCACAGGTGGATAGTGGCTATCATACTGAATAACATGGCAGAGCTTCAGATTATATTCTCTGTAATTTCCCTTTTTAACTCCAGAAAAAATTCACTCTGATATAGTTTGGCAAATTTTTTGTGTGGTAACATTTTGGAATCCAATAGATAAATATATAACCAAAGACATGGCTTATCAGCAATAAGGCAAACCAGCACCTATTACTAAATATTATGTATAGCCATATTGGCAAAATCTCATTTATTTTAACTAAACATGTCCCTTTGAAGATTCAACCATGTAAAAAAAGTGTACTTCATTTTTCTTCCCTGAACAACAAGAAGAGGACAAAAGTGGAAGGAGTTGTGAACAGGAAGGAGTTAGGAGTAACAAAGTCTGGAGAGAAGGGAGACTCTGAAATTAATTTCATATAAAAAATGCATTTATTCAAAAGATCCCTAAAAAGAATGACATGCTAAAATATTTAAAATGCACTATTAAGAAAAAGAACCATTTCAAAATGTATATACATTTATGCTCTATTAAATAGTGTAAAGTATGTGTGCATAAGCATTTGTCTTCTATAATTACATTTTTAAGCAGAAAAAGTCAGTTAAAATAAAAATCAGTTCTATATGTAACCAATTCTTACAGGAAAACTATAATTACCTTCATTTACACATATCTTAAAGATAAATGTTTAATATTTACAAGGAAATCTAGTGCCAATAATCTAACTTTAGTACACATACAGTAAAAATTATTTTAAATGAGGCTTCAGTAACAGAAGTATAAATAAGGCTTAACTGGTCCCAGTGCAACATTTGTTTTCAACCTCTCAAAGACCTGTAGAGGCACTGAAGCTGAAAAACGCACTCCTGGTTACCGAAATGATAATAAATAAACCAAGCTGTGAAATCCCTTTTCTGTCTTCTATTATGAGTAGAAAATATATTAAAAATAACTGCCCAGCAGTTTGAAGTTCTGCTATGTAATTTAAAAAGTACCCAATCGAGAACTGGCATGTGCGCACACACACACACACACACACATACCCATCTACTTTGTTTATTTAAAACATGGAGAGGAGGGAATTCTCAGTATTAAAAGATCCCTGGGACACAATGACAGCTGAGAAGAGCTGGAAGTCACATATTATGCTGTATAGGAATAAAAAATAAAAGTATTCTAATGTTTGGGACCTGCATTAAAGATAACACTTTAATCTTTCTCCAAAAGGAAAACAAAAAATGAAACAAAACTTAGGCTCAAGAGAAAACAGGAATAATAAAGAAAAGAAGGGGTTTAGAACTGAAAAACAACAAACGCAGTAAAGGCCACCATGCTAATTCTATGTCCTTCTTTCTAATATTATACCACTACTCTCTCTCTTTTGGCTGATTGTCTTGGCCAGGAACTCAAAAAAAAAAAAAAAAGGAATAAAAATATAGAGAGCTGGCATCCTTGTTTTGTGCCTGCTTTTAATATGCTAAATTCTGGCTTTCCATTAATATGCTATATAATATAAGGCTAATATGCAAATTGTCCCCTCAGGAGTTCGACCAAGAGTTCAACCGCTTGCTATGATGTGTGGTGACCACCAGGGAGTGGCGTGGAACGAAGGAAGGCCCCAGCTGGTAGTTGGAATCTGGG